AGGAAGAAAACATCTTCTAAATCGCACAGTGGTGGACTGCCAATCATCCAGATGGTGTGGATGGTATCGGGAGTTCTGCCGCGATGTGCGTTCGTGAAATTTGGCGGCTGGGATTAATCCGAACAATTCCTCAGAGCACTCCCCTTGGTAGATGCGAAAGAAAATGCAAAGGGATGCAACATCTCTTCGCAGTGCCAATGAATCGAGCCGATCGGAAAGGGCTCGGTCGTCGACAATTCGAGCCGCTCTGCGTTGGATGCGGTCAAGTGGAAGGAGCTGGCACTGGGGAGCCCCTGCCCAGAGATGGGAACAGTATTCCATGTGAGGCCGAACTTGCGCCTTGTAAAGTAGCAGGCGGTGTGCCGGCATGAAATACTGTCCCGCTCTGCTGAGCACGCCAAGCTTTTTAGAGGCCAATTTGGCCTTCCCTTCCAAGTGACCACGAAACTGCACGTCACTCGATATGTCGACTCCGAGGATACCGATACTGGCTGAGGCAACAAGGGGAGTACCTTGAAACTGAGGAGATACGACAAAGGGGTTCTTTTTAGCGGTAAACGCGCAAACTTGTGTCTTCTGAGGATTAAATTGGACTAGATTTAGTCGCCCCCAATCCAAGACTTTGTTCAGCAAAGACTCGACTTCAGACACAAGTTTGTTACGGTACTCAGCGACGTTTTGCCGTGAAATATTGGCACGGCCGGTGTATAGAGCATCACCAGTGCTGTCATCCGCATAGCAATGAATGTTACCAGTTAGCAACATATCATTGATATGCAGAAGAAACAGCGTTGGTGATAGCACACAGCCTTGTGGAACACCAGCGTTAATAGGCTTGTAGTCAGAGCATGCACCGTCTACAACGACCTTGATGCTCCGATCTACAAGGAAGCTGGTGATCCAATTGCACAATTTCTCGGGAAGCCCATATGAAGGGAGCTTCGAAAGAAGCGCTTTGTGCCAAACCCGATCGAAGGCCTTCGCAATGTCCAGACTAACGGCCAACGCCTCCCCCTTGGACTCTACTGCCTCCGCCCATCTATGGGTCAGGTAGACCAGAAGATCACCAGCTGATCGACCCCGACGAAAACCGTATTGGCGGTCACTAATCAGCTGGTGATCCTCAAGGTACCGGATGAGCTGGCAGTTAATAATGGATTCCATTATTTTGGAGAACAAGGAGGTGATCGCGATAGGCCTATAGTTGGACGGGTCTGAGCGGTCGCCTTTTTTAGGGATCGGGTGGACAAAAGCTGTCTTCCATGAATTCGGGACTACGCCTTGGGAGTAGGAGTACCGGAAAAGACGCGTTAGGACCGGTGCCAACTCCGGAGCACACGTCCTCAGCACAATTGGGGGGATTCCGTCAGGCCCACTCGACTTCTGGATGTCCAGGGAGAGCAGTGCTTTGCGAACCGAGCGCTGTGAGAACAGCACATCCGGCATGGAGCACTCACACCGCGGGATGGTCGGCGGTGTTTTCCCCCCGTCATCAAGAGTCGAGTTGGACGCAAAAAGGGAGCATAAAAGGTCGGCTTTGTCTTTTGCGTTATGGGCCAGTGAGTCATCCTCCTTGTGCAGAGATGGTAGTGATGGCTTACAGAAATTCCCCTGGACAGCCTTGGCGAGAGACCAGAATGCACGGGTTCCCGAAGGAAGGCGAACTAGTTTCTCGCCAATTCTGCCTATGTGCTCTGACTTTGCCTTGGCAATAACTCTCTTGAAGGACCTGGAGGCGAAGTTATACTTCTTTTTAAGTGTGCTGGTATTTACATCCCGAGTCGCCGAAGCCGCAGCCCAGGCTTGATAACACTCCTGCTTACTGCGTAATGCAGTCTTACAGGAGCGACCAAACCAAGGCTGAGATCTGCCTCCGATGGGTACCACAGATGATGGAATAAATAGTTCCATTCCCTGTAGCACCACATCAGTGACAGAGTCAGCAACAGCGCTGGGATCATCCGGCGAGAAGCAAACCCGCCCCCATGGGTAGGATGCAAAGAAGGACCGCATTCCGTCCCAATCCGCCGACCTGTAATGCCAAACACGGCGGCAACCTGCAGAACGCAACCGCGAAGGGAGCGTGAGTGGCACCACACTCCGGATCAGACAATGGTCCGAAGAGCCGAGAGGGGCATCGACGGAAACCAGATATCTGTCCGGATGAGAGGTCAGCAGAAGGTCCAACAGGGAAGGTGTATGATCCTCCACATCTGGAATCCGCGTAGGCGAAGTAACCAGTTGTGTCAGACCATATGCCAAGGCAAAGTCATAAACAGATCTCCCCGCATGATCGGTTAGACGTGAACCGAGCCATTCGGCATGGTGGGCGTTAAAATCGCCAAGGATCACGATCTCTGCGGATGGGACCTGTTGTAGCAAGAAATCTGTAGCCATTTGGACGTGGTCGATGAGTCGGTCTGTTTCGGCATTACTGCTATGGGACCTATAGAGGCACCCGTAGACGTGCGGATGGTCGTCGCTGTCTACGCGTAGCCAAAGGATGGACAGGTCCGAACTTTCAAGACTGCCGAGGCGTCGAGAACAGATGTCCTCTCTGACATACACGCAAACTCCAGCCCGAGGCACAAAGGAATGCTCCAATTTGTACCCCGGGTAGGAGAGATACGAAATATCAGCCGGAGAGGAAACCTGCGTCTCGGCCAGAAAGAGCAAGGCTGGCTTCGCCGTCTCGAGATGGTAGTGGACGGCGTTTAGGTTAGAGTGAAGTCCCCTGATGTTGCAGAAATTCACGGATAGCGTGGCAGGGGTCGCCTTGGTGTTCTTGCTCAGTTTGCCCCTAGCAGTAATGCTTTTGAGCGGAATTTTGCCCCCCCCCCCCCCCCAGAATTCGCGGAGCAGCCTGAGCACCCACGCTCAGGATCGGAATAACATGGTCGTGGATGCTCAGCGAGGGATTCTCCAGGGGTGCTGGTACCCTCCTGGGGTAGTTCTTCGTGTAATTCCGCTACCATGTTGATGGGGGGGGGGGGGGGAATTGGGCCTCCGGCCACCTGCACTCACCAGACGAAACGTAGAAGCAAAGCTTCTACTTCTCGCCGGTATTCTGTGAGGTCGTGGTACCAACCCGGCTCGAGCCGGCCCATACATGCAACAGCAAAAACTGCTGCGTGGCTCTACTATAAAATAAGTTATGTTCTAATTAATTATATTTATTCCAGTTTATGACATACCTGAATTATATTACGTGGCTGAAATTAGGTACTTCTTATTATGTACGTCAAACCAAATAACAGCCGGGCGGCTGACATTAAGCACTCCATACATTTCGTATATCTAATTACATTCCCATTAATTTCCACTAAAATAAAATAAAAAACTTATAGATTTAAACAAAAATAGCTGCATTACTATGCCTATAGTCACATTCATATAAATCAAAAAGCCTGAATTGTGTGAAAATTGCTGTCTGAGCGTTGACTGACGCGATTGACGAAATGCCATTACACGTTCAATCAAAATTCGTGACTGATAGTTGATTGACGTAAAAATCAAAATATCCAGATATTTGTCAATCAATTTCATGCAACCGTCAGTCACCGCATTACACGGTAGGTTATTCGTCAATCACAACCGCGATTGTTGTAAAACTGACAGCAAAACCTACCGTGTAATGGGCGTCTAAGTTTATTTGTACTGTATCATCTGAAATAAAAACATAAAAGATTGTTTGTCATTGTCATTCAGACATCCTTGATTTTGTAATTATTAAGACTTATTTTGATAGATTGTGCATAAAATAATGTTGGCAATTAATTATTTAAAATAATAGAATTCCTCATTTACTTCAGCCATTAACTTAAAATTTTAATACGAGTAAATTATTATAAAAAGAATTTATTATTATGTTTCATTCATCATTCATTCATTGCAGACTATCATAAAGCTACTGGTAAACATAGGCCTTCATAGGTTATCATATAAGGTGTACATTTTCCATAGTTGTAACAATTGGCAGACAAGTTGGCAACCAGTTTATTATTATTACTAAGTTGTTATCAAAGAGATCACTTGAAATGCCAGGAATTAAGTAGTTTTATTCAATGTACAGTACTCCCGTACATCTTTATTATAATTTTTTAAATTTTATATGAATACTGAATATACTGAGCAGTTACGTTTATTAAGGAATAATTAAATGTACATACCTTTGTCCAGAGGCGGCCTTACCCATTGCGAGGCTCCGGGCGGCAGGTCTTTGCGAGGCCCTTTGTCCTTCGTGAGTATGTGATGCGAATGGTTGTTTGGTTTAGGTATTTGTCATGTTTGAGGAGAAATACTAAGGTTATATAAATAAATAAAATTTGAGTTTTAAAATATTTTACATTGAAAAATTTACAAAATTAACAAATACAGACATGATAAATTTTAAAATTGATGTTTGCGGCTTTTCCTAAGACTAAAATATTTAATTAAAGCACAATAATCTAACGAATGAGCTACATCATTTTCGATTGAAAGAATAGCAAGGGCTGAAAGCCGATCTTGTGTCATCGAATTCCTCAAATATGTTTTAATAATTTTAAGTCTCGAGAAACTCCTTTCAGCAGATGCAACTGTAACAGGTGTGGTAGCAATAATTCTCAGGACTATTTCGATAGTGGGGTAAACTTCAATTAATTTTTTTTCTATTATGTATTTCAGTACCGAGATAATATCGTCGTCTCCGTCATACACGTGGATGAACATATTGAGTTCTTCGTACAATTCATGTCCATCAATATCACATGAGTCTCCTACTGTCATAGATATTTGCAAGTCGCTGCATTGCTTTAAAATTTCATTATCACTCATTTCCTTCAATCTTTTTATATTATACATGAAAAAAATATGCTTTCATGATGTTTAAGAGCCTCAAACCTAGGATGGCAGCTTGCGCGCACATTGTCGACAATGACATAAAAATAGTTTATTTTGAAAATTTGTTCCGCATTCAATTCATGAGCTTCATCTTCCCCTTCATAATCAAAATGCCTTTTTTAACGTCTTCTTCTGACTTCTTTGAACTGTTTGTCAATATCATTTTTCTCGGCTATTTCTCTCGCTGTTACAAGGGATGACTGAAAACCATTTTCACGATAATTATCGAGCCAATTTGTGAATGCATCTAGGTGTTGTATAGCCACATCTAAGTGCATGTGTTCGTTTTGCCACATTTTACTTATAACATTTATCTTTGTTAGAATATCATACCATATGACTAGTGAAACTACAAATTCGTAGGTAGTTATTTCGTTTTCTATAGAATGGCATTCACTGACCAACTGACAATCTGTTGTATTTTCTGCTAAATCCTTTAAAGCATCACATATATCGCTTAGTTGGTATTTAACAGCCTTCACCGATGCTACCCTGCACTCCCATCTAGTTTCAGAAAGTGGTTTTAGCGATAACGATTTTACATGAGCATTTAAAATAGCCCACCTCTGACTTGAGCCGGCAAACAGAGTGTACAACTTTTGTAGCAAACCAAAATAAGATTTCGCTTGGACACAAGACGATGCTGCATCTCCTAGGATGAGATTCCAGCTACGATTCCCGCAAGGTAAAAAATAAGCAAGTGGATTAATTTCAAGAATACGTTTTTGTACACCACTTTTTTCACCACGCATATTGGCACCATTATCATATCCTTGGCCTCTGCAGTTTTGCAATGATATACCTAACTCTGTTCTAATTCTGTGATTATGTAATTAATCAAACTTTCAGCTGTGGTTTTTTCGACAGCTAAGAAACCAATAAAATGTTCTTCAATTTCAGCTGTATTTGTATTAAAAAATCTTATAATAATTGAAAGTTGCTCAACACGAGAAACGTCGCGAGTACAATCAAGCATAATCGAGTAATATTTATTATTTATTATTTTTTCAACAATTTGGGTCTTCACGTGACTTGCCATTAATTGTATGAGCTCGTTTTGAGTATTTTTTCCTATATAGTGGTCATTAATCGTCTTATGCTTTACTTGTTTTAGGTGAAGTCTCATCACGGGATCAAATCGGGCTATTAACTTTACTAAATCTATAAAGTTGCTGCTTGTCTCACTTGAATCTGAGTCAGATGTTAATTTCTCTCTATGACCCCTGAATGCCAAATTGTGAGATGCTAAAAAATTTACAATTGCGAGCAATGGGATTTGATAACGCTGTAAAAAACATAATTCAAACCTGTAACTCGAATTTGTTAAGTCCCAGTATGTATTCTCGACCAAATAATTCTAGTATATATTTTCAAAAAGCAACCCGTGACAAGGTTAATAAAATAATCAAAAAACTTAGCTCTAAAAAGGCACCAGGCTCTGATAATATTGGGGTTTCTGATATAAAATGTATGGACACAGAAGGGGCCTCGGCCATTGCCAACCTAATTAATACAAGTGTTGAAACTGGCATTTATCCCGACGAACTAAAGATAGGATGTGTTAGACCAATATACAAGAAAGGAAGACGGGATGATTTCCTGAACTATCGACCAATCACCTTATTATCTTCAATTAACAAAATTGTAGAAAAGTATGTGTGTGAACAAATTTATAAATTCTACAATACGCACGATGTAATATATGAAAATCAGTTTGGTTTTCAAGCTGGGAAGAGTTCAAATGATCTTTTGATGAAGTTAACAGATGAAATTAACGAGTATCTAAATAACAAAAACCATGTACTCGTCCTATTTATTGACTTTTCACGGGCATTCGACACTCTTGATCATAAAAAAATCATCACTAAGTTGGACGATTGTGGAATACGGGGACCTCTTCTGAAATGGTGTACAAATTATCTCAAAAATAGGAAATTCTCTGTGAGAATAAATGACACACACAGCGACCCAGTGACTGTAACTGAAGGCACAGCACAGGGATCTGTGCTTGGCCCCCTCCATTTTCTATCATATGTAAACGACATGCATTTTTACATAAATCACTGTTCATGCTACCAGTTTGCTGATGACACATGTTTGCTAGTCGCCGATAAAGACCCTGATATAGCATGTGACCTGTTACAGTCTGACTTTAATATGCTTGCAAAATGGTGTCATGACGCCGGATTGGTTCTGAACTCCTCTAAAACCAAGCTGTTACACATAAAGTCTCCTTATATCAAGTGTACTTTATCCAAGAACATTGTTGCTCACGATCATAATTGCCTTCACTCGTCTTGTAAAAGCACTTGCAGTTGCCCCTCTATAGATCTCGTCAATACCCATACATATCTAGGAATGCAGATCGATAGTAAGTTTGCTTGGCATAACCACATCGAGTGTGTTTGTAACAAGTTAAGACAATTCTTAGCTAATATTATAATACTGAAGAACAGAATTCCGTTCCCAGTTAAGATGATGTTATATAACTCTCTGGCAGAATCTTATATACAGTATGGTCTAGGTAGCTATGGTCGTACATTTAATACTTATTTAAACAAAATATATAACCTCCAGATAAGAATCCTTAAAAACATTGTAACAGACAAGATTCGACGTCAATTTCATGATGACGATAGTATGCTCTTTAAGCACTGCAATATACTACCAGTTCATACACAAGTCAAATATTTACTTTTAAAAAAACACTTTTTTAATGAAAAGTTAAAATTAGAAATGAAGCACCCCGTGTGTACGCGCGCCGTAAGCAGCCGCAAGCTGCAGACGAGCCAGGCAAACAATATGTACGGGGAACGAACAGCAAGTTACATTGTTCCACGACTTATAAACAAGCTACCCCCAGATTTCCGCGATAACTTAAATATCAAAAACATTAAAAAAAAACTTAAAATGTACTTTTTATGTAATTTATAAAAAAAATTACTACTTGAAACAGCGTATATGCGTTTGCTCAGGTCCTAATTAGGCTGTAATGTTTCCTTTTTACAAACTATATTAATTATACTTAATGTAACGTCTACTCTGGTCGCGTCATCAGAAACCTTAGTGGTTTTCTGTATGCGACTTTTTAGTATAGTTTTTTGTAATGCTTTGTAATATGGTAAATAAATTAAAAAAAAAAAAATCGTTCTAAAATATCTCTCCAACGTTGCCTTTCTTGTTCAATTTGTGACTGGGCCAAGAAGTCAATAGTAGAACAGCTTTTTAAACCATTCTCTAAATTAATCCATTTCAACATACAATTTTTTGCTGTCGACTAGATTCGTGAGACTTTAGGTAATCACCCAAGTGTTTCCAATCACACACTCCTTCACTTGATCCAATCTTTGTATTTTCTAGCCCGAATATTCGACACGGAAAGCAGTAAACGGCATCCTCTGTTTGTGAATAAATCATCCAGCGCCTGTCAAGCTTTTCACCGTTAGCTAATATCTTATTATAATGATATTCGCTGAATCGCCGTCCATTATCATTTACGGGAAATAAATCAACTTTAACCCGGATTGGACCTTTTAATACAATCTCAGTTTGATCTACATCAGTAATTGTTTTAGGACACAAACCGGGGTCATTTTGAGGATTCAGATTTTCCATTTCAGTAATCATGGATATAGACATAGACTCAGGCTCAGATTCGTGTTCTTGACGGAATAGCGTTGACGGTGGCACCGGTGACCTAAGAGATAATGATGTAGTTAATTCATCATCATCCTCACTGTTTTTACTTATTGTCGGCGGCGGCACCCATGATGATGTGGAAGGAATGTTTTCAGCTGGATCAGGATTAGAGTCACTTTCAGTCAATAAATGTTTTGTAGAGGTTTCGTGACCATCTCTTTTTATATATTTATATAAATATCCACGTAGATTTTCTTTTACCTGCTTTCTTTGACAGCTCGTTTCCTTTTTGAACTACCTGACTCAAAGAACAATGGCAGACTTTCATACATAAAATTAGTTGAGAAGAAATGGTAGCGTCTATGTACCAAAAATATCTTAAAATGTTAAGCCTCAGTCCCTTAATAACTTTGTCAAAGAATTTTGTACTGAGAAGGCGTCAAAAAAAAGATATTTACATTTGAACTTTTTAGGTTATGTCCTATGTCATTTGGAAAAAGTCATGCTTCCTGTGGTTGTTTGATGTTAGCTTAATACATAATACATAATTGAGAGTTTTTAGATTATTGTATCTCTATTATGTATTTGCATACTATAAATGTATATTTCTGGCATGGCTCCAGGTCTTTTGTATCATAGTGACATTTTCAGAAGGGCTAGAACCCAGAGCCGTAAAGCCAGTAAAAAAAAACAGTGACATTTTATTTTAGCTAGTGTTGGCATAACATTAAATGGAATTGTTACATAGTACTATGATTGAGATAATGTATTATTGTAGGAAATTCTTTGTAAGAGACTTATTCTCAGCCATATCACTTTTATTTTTATTCTTACTGATAGTACAGTTATTACTAATAATAACTTAACATAAAAATATTTTGTGTGTTGTGTTGGTAGTCTTACAAAGTGTATACGAAAATAGTATAAATATACTAAATGGCAACATTTGAATAGAGTAAAATGTTTTAAGTGGCCTAAAGGTCTAGATGCCAGGCCATAAACTCCAAAAAAAAAATGTTTTAAGTCATTTGATATTCCCAAAAATGTTTGTTTTTTTCTGTGGCTTCAATTAAAATACATTTTTATTTGAAAAATCATAGAAAAATAATAAAACTCATTTTATATATAACTTATTTCTAGACCCTTTAATTTTTGTCAACAATTTCTCTGCCATTGCTCTTTTCTACCGACATCACGATCACGCGATCTCATTTCGTAAACCTTGTTTTGTTTCGCACAAACAGTCAGAAATAATTTTTAAGTATCACACAGTTTTTTTACACTTTTTCAACTTACTCAATACTTCAAATACTATAATTTACACTTTTCCAGCTCACTCAATAATTTAAATACTATAAGAACGTAATATTCAAAAAATTTAAAGATATGTACGGTACAGTAACGTAGTAAATTTGATAACTATTTTGTTAATTTGTTTGTATACTGCAAGCAAACTAATTCCAAGGTGATAGGAGTTGACGAACGAAATGAAACACGTGGATTCCCCGAGCGATAGAGGAACAGAACATTATGTCCAACTCCCGAGCTGACCCGAGTGCTATGCGATTAAAAAAAACGATCTTCAAGTGTTTCGAGGCGCGATATTCAAGTACTACATAATTAATTTTTCAATTATGTTTTGAATGAATTAATTAGTTAACAAAATTTATTTTAATTTACCGTTATGTTATAACCTTAATGAGTAATTAAGGATGAAAATCAAAAGTATTTAATAAAAAATATAGTTAACAAATTTATATTTTTTTAAATTTGCTTGGGTTGTTGCGCGAGGCCCCTGCAAGAGCGAGGCCCCGGGCGATTGCCCTGTTCGCCACCCCCTAAGGCCGCCACTGCCTTTGTCATCTTTGATGATAAACCTAACTCAATTTACTCCAAAGATTAGTGTTGAGTTTATCCAACCTTTTTTAGCCTTATTAATTTCAGATTTAGCAGTATGAAACCCTTTATTCAAAAATTTTGTGACCAAGCAGGCTTCTTGAAAAGGTTACTGAGAATGCAGCATACTTTTAAGTTTGTCACAGTTTATAAAGTCCAACCGCTTGTTTCTTTGGCCTTTGTCAGACTCTTCTCTGTTACTTGCACAATTGGGAATGAAACACTTAAAAATACATTTTAAAACTAAAAATTATATATAAAATACACTAAAGCTAAAGAAAACGTCCCGTCGAAATATATAACCTATTAAACAATAAACACCCTTTCGTAAAATAGCAGTAAAATGCCAATAAAACTTTATTTATAATTTATAGTTAGTTCATACTTCATAGAAAAACAAAATGAAAATTTCCAAGAAAACTTCTAACTTGACAGCTACGCGACAATAACATGACAAAATGGCGGCAGCGGAAAGGGGCAAGAGGTGGGAGGGACGAGGGAAACGTCATGTTCTGAATTGCTCACTGCATTTCATACGGTCAAAGATTTTTGCCCAAAGATTACCAGCCGTGCGAGTATCTAAATCACTTAATCTACTCGTGCTACGATTACGCGTGCGTGTTACGATTTAATGTTAGTAGCACGGTAAGAATGTAATTAAATACATAAGGGTATTCTATACACAACATATTGACTCCTACTGGGAATCTTACTCAAAAGTTAGCCAAGTCAAGTCAACTAAGATATAGGATCGCGATTCAGATAACAACTTCTCAAACTGATACTCTTCTCAAGATTGAGTTTATTTATGAACACAATTAACGATGTATAACAACTTTTAAAGCCCGTAGAATTCCTAGCTCTAATCTTCTTAAACTAACAAAGAATCGTCTACACTCAGTCAACCAGGTTAATAGCTTCTTTGCGGTAATAGGAAGATCTCTCGGCGAAGCTATCATCAATGGCAAAAACATACAAACCTCCATGAACGCAGTTATTTGACTCTCAAATGACTTCATTTGTCTTATCAAATACAGATCCAGCTATAGTAGAGACCTCGCGTTCATATAGTGCAACAGGATGGTATACCACTTCGAATAATTTTCTTAAGGAGTCTAAAGATATTGTTGTTATTGCAATTAGTAATTTAACAAACGTAAGCTTCGAAAAGGGTATATTTCTGGAGGCTTTCAAAAAATCTATGATTACACCCGTATATAAGAGTGGAAACAGAGATAAAATAACTAATAATAGACAAAGGCTAAGTATAGTCATTCAGCGGGAAAACGCAGCCAGCGTTCTTGGCACGATATCGCGGGAAGTAGGATTGTATAAATATAATAAATTTATAGACGATTATCAGTATCGATGTCAATTTCTAAAATAATAAAATTATGGAAAAAATATTAAATAAAACACTACTAGGTTCTCTGAATAAATACAACTTAATTTCAAAGTCAAAGTTTGGTTTTGGTTAGGGCTTATATACTGAAGATGCTGTTGTAGATCTTACTAGTTGTGAAGGAAATCGATATAAAAATGTGTAACCATATTTTTGGATTTAAAGGAAGCTTTTGATACAGTTTTCTTACACATTATGTTAAGCGATAAAACTCTCTCTCGTTTCGGTAGCTACCTTAGAAAAAGAAAATAGTCGGTAAAATTGGAGCTACTGTATGTGAAACTGTAACTGTCAACTATGGAGTCCACCAAAGAAGTGTGATGGGTCCAATTCTGTTTTTGATATATATTAATTAATTAACTGCATACTAAGAAACTCTATAATGAACAGATTTTTTCCTATGCAGATGACACCGCTATTGTGACACAGAGGACTCGCAAGGAAAACAACAGTATTAGACCTTGTTAGGGTGGCGGATTGGCTCAATTAGAATATACGACTTTGAATATATTCAAAACTAAATATATTTGCATTACCATGTACAACAGCGCTCAACCTACACCTGATTTTCAAACTAAAATTCACGAATGCTGTATCGTCCAAAGCTCTAGTTGTAACTGTTATCAAATAAATTAAGTAACAAGTGTTAAGTATCTTGGAGTCACGATTGACCTAAGACGCCTTTGTATACACATCTAGAATAAATAATGACTCGGCTCAGGAAAGTTATTTGGATATTCAAGTCACTACGACATGCCTCCACGAAATCTTGTCATCGGCTAACTATTGTATTCCTTGATGGGGTGTTGCAGCAAAAATCAGGATCCATGAGCTTGAAAGAGTTCAAATGTGCATTATTAAAATTATCTACTTATAGTTCTATAGATTCTCTACAACTGATCTTTATAAATTGTGCCATTTACTTTCGGTAAGAAAACGTTACATTTTAGTAACTGTTTTAAAACTTCATTGTTCCAGAAATTACTTAACGTCATCAATTAGCATACTATTCATTTAAGACTAAGTTTTCATAAAGACAGTATACTAGATGTTGTATTTATTTCAAAATATCAATATTTACCCTTTGAATTACCATGACTGTAAAAAACCTGTAACAGACTGGTTAAGAAAACTCACCTATAAATAAACTAAATCCCTTCTCGAAAACTTCTCACACTCATACGAGGGTGGATTGAAAAGTACTCGGCCTAACCAAGAAAATAAACACATACTAAATCAGTTATATTTTTATTTTTCTACATAATCACCATCAAGTTCAATACACTTTTGCCACCTCCCCTTCCAAGCATTTAGACCGTTGA